TAAAGGAACGTTCTTTATGGTTTAGAACTTTGTTTATTTTATAATAAATGTTAAACAAAAAGTTTTAACGTGATATATTGTTTAAGTTTTCAAGCGACCACTGTATATATTTGTAGATTTAAATCATAAACTGTATATAGTATACAATACATTTGCAGAATAAACATACATCTATGTTAGTTTATTAGCTGGGTAATATATATTTAAGATTTTCTAATTTATATTAACATCATTTTATTATTAAAATTATTTATTTTAATTAATATAAATTAATGTGTAAAAAAATTAATTTAAATGATCAGATAAATGTAAATTAAAAATATAAACAAAAACAAATGAAAATTAATATTTTCTAATTAATTAATGTATTCAACGCTTCTATTAATTTTTGCAATTATTTATTTGCTAAAGTATGCTTAATACTGTTTAATCAATCTCAGTGGTTATCATGGGGAAATTAAAAAGGGTGTCTAAGTAAATTGATAGGCTTTTTAAGTTTTTTATGAAGTTTAAGTAAGCAATCAAACTTCATAATGATGAGTTTCCATATACAGGTATTATAGTTGTCAGACCCCATGACGTATCTGCATACAACGAGTCAAAGTTTGCCACTATACCTACTAGCAATATGGCACGTAGTAAAGTTTCAAATTTCTTCATCTTTAATATTGTTCGGATCTGGCTTCTAGTAACAAATATTTGCTTGCAGATTCAAAAACAATGCTCCAGTAATGGAGGTTTGGTTGCATGGAAAAAATGATTATGAAACTAAAACTTTTTAAGGTAACAGATAAATCATCTTATAATAAAAGGCAACGAAATATAAGATACATATTGGAATAAATTTGTTACTATGGAAGAAGACCATATTGCTGCATATAGTAAAGTAGAAATAAGTCTACGTTACGGATTTATGTGATGTGTTATAATTGCTAATAATCCCGCAGGTTATGTTAATGGTTGAGATCTCAAAGCTAGCTCGCCAATTTTTAAATGTTTGATGATATTCTTCTCTCAACATAAAACACATTTCATATAATATTTATTTATTTAAAAATACTTAGTGTTAAATAGTAAATAAAAATAATGCATTATTAAATGTTTAAATCAATATATTTTATTAAATTTAAACTGTATGAAACAGATAGAGCAAAACTTCTTTGAATATATTCTAAATAAACGATTTAAAGATAAATTAAATTTTAATACTCTTATCACAGAAAGTTTCTGACACTTTGTTCTTCTTGTAAACTTTGAAAACTATTGACAGTTTAACTTAATCAATTAAAAGTTTTTTTTCGTTATTTTTCCTAACGATGTCCTTAAAAGTAGGAAGAGTTCGCGCTTCTCTCACATTTTACTCCCTTTGATATAATCAAAGTGCGCTTTTGTTGTCTTTGAGACCACATTTTAAGGCTTAATTTACAAAATTGTTTAATTGTGAGGAAAACTTAATACTGCGGGCGGGACGATAATTGCATTTATTGAGATAAAGCGGAAAAACTTTATTGTAAATTGCAAACACTTGACATGCTTGGAAGTTTCAGAGTTTTTAGGTCAAAATGGTTAAGTCGGAAACAGAAATGAGACTTTAAAATTAAAGTAATTGTGTTCATACTCAAGCATTGTATTTATGATGTTTAAGTATTGAAATTTAATTAGTTCTTCAACGAAATTATTATTTTATATAAAAAAACAATATTTTGGGTTTGATATTAATTCGAAAAGGAAATAGCTTTTAAACTGAGCTACATACTGTTGTTGGGCTGCGATAACTTTTATATAAATAATAAAATTTTTGGTTTCTGAAAAATTGTTATAAAATAATAAGGAGAATTTAAAACTAATATATTATGTTTTACAAAAAATAATATTTCATTTGACAAAAGTAAACAAACAAAATTTGAAATAATTATACATAAAATATATTATTATAATTAATTAAAGAAACTGTTCGATTCAATTATAAGATAATTGAAAATATTGACACGAATGATTCAGAACTTTATTTAAACTAACTATTTATGTAGTTTACAATTACTTATACTCTATAAGCAAATATTAAATTAAATAACTTTAATTTATCGTTAATTGTTTCAAGTAAAAAAACTATTTTATTGCTGAATTCACGACTCAATTTTATGGAAAATTTTACACTGAGCACAAAAAGTGTGTTTAATTAGTTTTCCTTTAATTTTACGTTTATACACGAGACGTACACATATTACAAAGATACAAACACAGACATCTATAAAAATCTTACCGAGACCTGAGTGGCTGTGTAGGAATTCGCACGTGGTCTGTTACTGAAGCATACTGTACGCCATTTCCGTTTCACTTGTGCGATGACCTCACCGTTGAAAAAGCAGAATAGGGTGGCTACGCATAAACCCTGCAAATAAAGTAGAAAAAATTCAATAGGAAAAACAATTTTAAAAAAGAAGTCAATTAAGTTTACTTAAAAATAATACAAAAAAAAAATTCTTTTCATTAAATAAGTTTAAAAAAAAAATGATGAACAGTTATAATACGTGACTTCATTTACCCAAAGCAAAAGATAATAAAAATCATGTACAATTTTTAAATAAATAAAACCATCTATGCGAAGTTAAAATAATAACTGTGATAAATTACAAATCTTTACCAATTTTGTAAAATATTTGGTAGACATTCTTAAAAATATATGTGAAGTATGAAAATAAGTCACAGACTCACTACAGACACTTATTATAAATTATGTATGGATAGAGAAGAACACCACCATGATTATGGCGGTCGATGATAGAGCACTGCGCCAAAAACTACTCCTAATCAACAATACATAAAGAAAGTTTAAAAAATCTTTCAAGTGACCGCTGTGTGTCTGCAAGAAGGAAAGTGCCACTAATTTAAGTAAATGTAAAATTCCAGCTGAATTCCCGATGTCTGTTGCAGCCTGCAGAAATTTGTTTTGAGGGAAAGTAATTTGGAAAAAATCTGCAGTTTAAAAACCGTAACATTTTGGAAAGTTATCTTGCATATTATTTTTCAATAAAATGTATCTTTATGTATGTATCTGAATATATTTGGATCTGTGATCTTTCAATGCTAGGTTTAATGATTGGTAGAGTTGTCAAAACTATAATTTATATTTTAATATCAGATCACCGTCATCAGCAATTCCTGTATCTCTTACTGGAGCATAGGGTGTATTTAAGTTCTGAGATAAGTTTCCACACAATACAATTTAAAAATACTCCTAAGGTCACTCTGAAAATACTAAGTTATGGATTGTATTTATATGCATAAACCTTAGTTTAAAAAACAAAAACAAGTTAGGTTTGTCAAGGTGTGCTTAGCTGTTTTTATGTTACAATGTAGATTATATATACGGGTAATTTTACTAACAGGAGAGGAACTACTACTACTATATTTCTATGGATGTACCGTGAGTTGTGTAAATTTGAAAAACTTACTTTTTATTTGGATATGTTTGGAGCATATAAACGACGAAGAAAGACGGCACAAACTCAACGATATGTGCGTTTTTGACTGGAACTTCAAGAAACGTATTGTCGGCATGCAACCAATGGAAGAATCTTTCCTAAACGGTTAAGAACAAGAGTTTCAGTAGGTTTATTTGGAACCGTTGAATTATTTTTACATTCGCTTTTGACTTAGATTATAATCACTGTATATCGTAAGTCCAAATTAATAAAAAAATAATATGGGTTTTATTTTTGCAATTATACATTTAATAATTGTAAGCATTTAATGATTTAATGATTATAAATTCCTTTTAAATTTATATTGAAAAATACCGTCATGGAAAGGATATTAAAGTGAATTTCAATCATAAAAAAGGCAAACATCTTTTGTTTACATTACTTTTCTTAAAATAGCTTTCACAAGTATTTCTATATTATTCAGTTTTGAGTTAGCAATAATATTGTTCTAAATATTTTATAAAAGAGTTTTTTTCATAAATGAGCATGAAGTGAAGAAAAAGTAATGTAAACAAGAATAATTTTGTATTTAATATTTATGAATCTCGATTTAGTATTACTTTTCCCCATTAAATGCATTTAAAACATTTTCATCGTAAATTCCTTTTTTTATTCAGGATCAGTACCATTGTTAAATTCATTTGAAAATGGTTTTAATGGCTCGTTATGCTTTTCAAGCAAATGCGGTGCTGCTTAACAATGCGGTATCCTAGGCAATATTCAAGAACTGTTCTTGCTAAAGGCTAATTTTCATGCTGGTTGAATGGAACAAAAAGGTCACTTAGCGTGGGAAATGAGAAATGCTAATGAATTTAAGTTCTAGAAAATAACAAAGGAGAGTAATGAATTATTACAGAACAGCAGGTGGTATGAGCAATATTGTTTAAGCTCTCTTTATTGTACTGAAAATTATTAAGCTTCATTTTAAAGTTCTAATCTTTGTTGTCCTTATTTAATTTTGCATTTCGGATTTAGTCCCTTTTCTTTAACTCGTACTCATATCCTAAGGAATTTTTCTAATTGCACATATGCACTAGTTTTTGCAGTTTGTATTTAATAATAATGTACAAAAGTATTATTTAGTGTGAAAGACTAGTAAGAACAAGTGTGGAGTTTCCTAACTATTTTTTAACGAAAAGGTTTTTATGAAGGGCACAAACTTTGTTCTTTGCTTGTGGTGAAAATGTGAATACGTGGTTTTAAGGAAGTTTAAACCGCGTTCACCACCGGAAACTTTTAAGGAATAGTTTAAAGTAGTGGTAATGAGATGCTTTCAAAACTTGTAAGTGAATATTAAGCAATTTGTCCCATTACTTGGCCATAAATGTTGCCGAAAACTGGAATATGTTCTAAAGTTATGAATGGGAAACTAAAATACTTAAATATAAATTCAAAGCAAATGTTTTTAGTTTTTCATTTAATTTTTTTCTAATACTTTATAAGAAACGCCCATCACGTGTTGCTGCGGCTTAATCTGGTTGAATGGAAATTAAAGATCACATGTTATTAATATGTTTAACTTGTTCCTCTATTAATATAGAAAGATATTTATGTCTTTATAAAGACTATTATGTGTGCCGACTTTAGAACATATAAGATACTACTCGGTATAAATAATAGCTCAATGTACTGTAGTTTTTATATTTTTCTTCTCCACTGTCTGGATTCATCGACGTTATATCTGCACAATTTCATCGCAGCGTAATATCGATAAGGAGCAATATCCCTTGGATGTGATTAATCTTCATTTATACCAATTTTTCCGTTTTTTCATAGTAGGCGTATTATACCTAAATACATATTCTTTCATGCAACATTTGAATGATTTGAATGATTTGAATCGGCAGTATAATGTGGAATTAAAGATTTTAATAAATCTGATGAATATCATAGTTCAGTTAACTTTTAATCAACTATCCATATGATAGTTGAGTGTTAACTAACTCAACTACTTCTTTTAACTGCCCGCTTTTAGCAATAACACATATAGAATAACTTTTATATTAAAAACTGATAGCATACGAAATTATAGAATACTTTTTCTTGTAGTGTAATGGGGTATTTAGACTAACAACAAATTTGCATGCAGAAAATATACAGAAAAAATAATGGGAAAGATGATAAAGAACGAGGACAATTAGTAACTTATAAAGTTATACGTGAAAAAAAATTATAGAAATGAAGAGAACATTATCTGTCAATAAGGAGTCTCAAAATATAGGTTGAATAAAAAGATCATAGATTAAACTATCACAAGGGTCTCTCAGTTAAATGGTAAAATATGGTGACACAAACTTCTCTTCAGGATAGTGCCTAAAATATTTCTCATTTAATGTATGCCTATTATAGAAGGTGTTTCAAATTCCTTGAGTATCATCTTGTACTGTTTTAGAGTACAACTCATAAAAAGTGTTCTTTCACATGTGACACCTCAACAGAAGTAATATTTCGTGCTATCGTATCCAGGTGTCTACAGCTCGTGTTGTCCTCCACATAAAAAATCGGTCAAGGAAGAGTGTTGGTATTTGTGTCCCCATTCAATGTGGTGCTTCATTTTTTAAGTGGTCACCGTGACAAAAATAATAGCACAGGTTTAGGTGGGTCCTGTTTCTGAACAAGAAGAAAGTCATATTTAAATATATGACGTCATTTAGAACTAGCGAAATTTGTTCATATAGGACTTTTATCGACGCGCTATATTGATACGAGCGTATTAAGTTCAAGATATCTTTGTATCCTTGTTAAAAAAGTATGACTTATGGTTCTAGTCTCATCAGCTGTGTTGTACTAGAATGCAAGTGGATTATAATCCCATTGTTGATTAGCACGAAATCGTGTTTGATGGTTTTTCATTGTTTTATTTTGTTGTCTTTTAGACAGTCTCAGTCGCGTTACTTGTACTAAGGAATAGAATCATAACAAGAGATTCGTTGGTATGAAAAACCATGTATTTTTCTTCCCACTTTTTTCTTAATTCATTAGCAATATTTTTTTTGTTGACTATAAAAGCAACTTAGCTCTGCCTTTTTTTTTATTAGTATATCAAAACTGAAATCTTGTTTTTTTATTTGGCTTAAAGTCTTAAATAAATAAATTTTTTTTCAGTTTGCTGCTTCCATACCTACATCTTCCTGTTTTCATTATCTAATTAAATTCACTTTTTGATGAAAGTCAAAACAGGAGAAGATAACTCGTAGAAGTTTCTAGATCTATACAGTAGGGAAATTTTATTTATCTTACGTTTTAGTCGAAATTATAATAATAAATCAATTTCTTCCATATGCTTGCCAAAAAACGTTTACAAATATCTTAAAAAAACTCTAAAAAACTCTTAAAATGAAAACATAAAATATTAAGTAACTCAAGAGTCGCTTTTTATGGCCGCATTATAAAGATGTTAAATAATTTATTGTTATTATTTTTCTTCTTTTACTACAACTTGGTTATATTTTTTATTCTACTTGAATGAAATAAAATAAAATTTAAAGTCTTTAAAGTATTTATGCAAATAGGTAAGTGCATAATAACATCTTCGAATACATATTAAATGACAGAAGTCTTTTTTTACGATGCGACAGGCACGAATTTCTCGAGGGAACAATACTCTAAAAAGTATTAAAATTTTTGTTTTAATAAGGAAAATGATTAATGTGCATAGATTAAGAAACATGAGTCAAAATTTATTTAAATAATTATACAAATATGGATTTAATATTTTTCCAGAAACATATTATTTATTAAAAAATTTAATATTAAAACTTATAACAAAATACTAACATATTTTTATTCACAAAATTTGGACTTAAATCGTACATAAGTTCTTTTAATATAAATTGCATTAAATTGCAATGAAAATATTTGAGATAGTTAAATTTTGAAATTTAATCTTCAAAAATTACATTTTGCA